TTCCTAAGGTCAAACAATAAACATATATTCGTTTCTTTTCGTTTTTTATTGATGAATAATAAGAAAACAGTGCATGCCAATGATCTATATCAATATTAATATCATTTGTTTATAAACATAAACGATGTTCGACACTGCAAAAAATGACGGGTCATTATTTCTTTGAAAAATAACCACTTATTAAGGCGGACTTCTGTCTTTTAGCTCTTGACAGATTATCGATTTCGATTTGAATTGCTTGTAGTTCTTCGCGTTGTTTTTTTGCATTGTCGAACATAGCTTGTGCGGTTGTCATTGTTTCAAAGTTTTTTGTTTTTAATCCAGTAGATAACATATTTTCTGCAGCACTAGTTTTCTCATCAATACTCGATTTCTTATCATCAAATCGTTTCTTTGCTTCGTTGATTTTTTCCGTCAACTCATCATTTTCGAGTCTACGTTTACTGCGTTCCAATTGCTCTTGCTCGATCGCCTCTCTTTGTTTTTGTTTACTTCTTTCTTCTTCTTCTCGTTTCTTTTTCTCTTCATCCAAATAAATTTGGTATTGTTTGCGTGCATTTTGAGCCATTGCGATAAGATCTGTGTCGATGAATATTTTTGTGACATCATTTCCAACGCTTCTGATTGCCTCTACTGTGTTAATTCGCGCATTCAACGTTAGCTCGCTCATTTTCGCACGATCTTCAGTTAAAATCAAAGAAGACGAGCTGAAGCCTTTTAAAAATGAATATAAAAAAAACATTGTTTACAATCGAAATGAAACCATAATATATAATTAACAATCGACTAAATGCACAAAATCAAAACCACTAAATGTACACAAACCTCTTTCTACGTCCATTTGTCCATGGCTAGCTGATAGCAGCGATTTCATGAAGTGATTAAAATGTGGATATTTATCACCATTTGACTGGAAAAACTGAGCCCAGAATGAATCTACGTCTCTGTCACTGTTGACCACATCAGCTTGTTTCATTGATTTTATTTCGACTTTAACCAATTTATATTCGTCACGCAATTTATTGTGATTCATATTGCCATCTTCCGCCATATGTTCCAATATTTTGTCCAAGATCAATGTGTCAGCGATATGCTCTTTCGATAGGTATGCCGGTGATAAAATTCGGAGCAGTTTAATATTTTCCCAATTAACTTTTTGGATGAGATATTGCGCGGCACTTAAATAATGCTGTTGATATAACTTTTTGAACGATCCTTCAATAGTTTCATCGTCTTCTTGGCGCTTAAGCTTATCGATTCGATTTTTGATGGCATTTGATAAAATGATTTTGCTCGGATCAAATAAGTTTTCTGCGTTGAAAACCGTTTGAATATCAATGTCGATTTCGTACTGTTTGCAGATTTTGGTTGCTATCAATAAAAGTAAACTTTTCAAACTGTCAAACATTGTGTGAATTAATGTTCCAGTGCATTGGAATTTCACAAGAAAATCGTTGAACAAGGTGGGGCTCTCAATTATCAATAAGAGATTCAATTCAACGTCATTTGTTCCTGCTCCTCGTAAATATCCGGAAATGTTTCTGTAATGAATGCCCTTCGTTTCAGCTTTTTTCATGTTCATGAAATATGATCGTATTGCTGGCAGTAAATACAAAAACCGTTCTGCTGCCGCCAATAGCGTAAGCCACCGAATATCGACGTGTTTAATCAATAATTTGCATTCGATTTCTTTTTGTTTACACACATTTTCGAATTTTTCGCGCCGCGCTGGAAATCCGTCGAACCAGTTGAATGTCTGAATGATCAAGTCCGTCAATTTATCACCACAAGCCTTCAATCCTTTCGAGAAACTGTTGTGAACAACATGCAAATTACACGAACCAATATCGAACAAATTCACTTTGCGATTCACGAGCAATTCATTGTTGATTGTTGTCTTTACAAGATCATTGGTTTTCGGTCCATCCATTCCGAGCATTAATAAATTATTAATCGACAGATTGGCATCATTGATGGCTTGAATCAGCTTTGAAACGATAATTTTCGCTGTGGCAGTGCCCAAATAAAATGTTTGCAGGTGACGCGTTACTGCTCGCTGTAAACTATTAGAAAAATAGCGAATGCGGATTTGTAGTTCTTTCTTGTTTGCACTGTTTACAGTTTCATCGAACAGCAGTGTGAAGTACAACTGCCTATTGATATCCTTAATCACTTTCTTGTAGAAATACGGCCCGAGCGCGAAGTTCAAAATATAGGTTGCCTTTGTTCGATTCAATGTAAGCGATTTAAGTATTTCTGAGTCACTGATTGCGAATTTTAACACAGATCCCAAATTATCGAATGCATTTAGCGAACAGTTGTTTGATAAACCGTTGAGTAGAATTAATAATTCCGCTCTTGTTGTTTGTTCTTTCGGTGCAAGCATTTTCCATTTCGTTGCTTCCAAACTGCTACTTGTCGATTGATTCGACGCGACATCAAAATCCAACTTTTGTTGCAATTCATTGAATTTCGTTTTCATTTGATTCTTATGTTTAACCGTGCCCATGTGTTGTTCTAATGCAGCAAATCCTTTGCTCTGAACGTGAACTGTTGCCGGGCATACCAAACACGTTACCTCAACTTCACTGTGACGAGAAAAAATACTTTTAAGTTCGATATTTTTGCCTTCGAATTCCACTGATCGCTTTAGCCATTCTTGGCTGAATTTAGTTCCTTTGGCACTCATTGCTGAAAGACGACTGAATTCAATCATATGATAATTGAAATAATTTCGCGCAATTGTCTTCAATTCGAAACGTTACTTATAATGACAAACCAAGCAAAATAATTCTTTGCTGAGTTAGCAAAAAAGCCAACCAATATATACATTGATTATCGTATGTTTCAACGAAGTATATCAACAATAAACAAAACGAATTTTATCGTCAGTAAATTCAACAGCTGTATTTGTTTGATTTCCCAGAGATTTCGATGATTCATGTTGATCATATTGCATTTCAATACCGTTAATTCTTTATTTTCATCATAAATTTCAAAATAGCTGAAAATAGCAAATTTTTCGTGAAATAGCTGAAAATAGCTACGGTTTTTAAAATAGTCGAAAATAGCTAAAATAGCTAACGTGTGGCAAGCCTGCAAATTACTTTAGAGTGATTTGCCCCTCGAATCTCATCCGCTGTTCCCATTCCAATTGTATCACTTTGATTCTATTTCCACAGTTCTTAATCGGGGATGTGAGTGGAGCACCACCCGGGAGGAATGGTAAGATTGAAGTTTCATTTATTTATCCAGTTTAACTCTTAAATTCCATATACAAAGCACCTTGTAACGAAGATAGATGGGAACCTCTTTATGCTAAACTTTTCATACATATTTTAGTAAACGAAAAAGACATAATTGGAAGGACAGCTCTGCATATAGCTGCTTTTGCTGGTAGTTTTGGATTTTTTTTTTAAAAGAACGTTTTGTTCAATCCGTTTCATTGATCTATGAATATTTTTCATATTCTTTCAGGCAAAGTGAAGGAAGCTCAAAAACTCATCGCTGAAGGAGCCGACCCCAATATTGGAAATAATTTTAATGAGACAGCTCTGCATTATGCTGCTATGAAAGGTAACGTTGAATACTTATTGTTATTGAATAAAAGATTGACCTGATTTTTTCCCATCGATCGGTGATATTGCTCAGGTCACAAGAGTATCGCCGAACTTCTCATCAGTAAAGGAGCCAATCTTGATGCTGAAACTGATACGAAAGAGACACCTCTTCATTTAGCTGCTGAGAATGGTAATTTCGAATAATTGTTTTCTTTAAATAAAAGATTTATTTGATCTTTTCCATCGATCTAAATTATTTTTCAGGTCACAAGAGCGTCGCTGAAGTTCTCATCCGTAGAGCAAACGATCTTAATGTTAAAAATAATTTGCATCAGACACCTCTTCATTTGGCAGCTATGAATGGTAAGGTTGACTTAATAAGATATCTCGCCGATCTCTTTCATTGATCCGTATTATTTTAGGTCACGGAGGTGTCGCTGATGTGCTTCTCAAGAATGGAGCTAACGCTGATATTGAAGATGATTTGAATAACACAGCTCTTCATTCAGCTGCTTTCGAGGGTAATTTTGAATACTTATTTTCGCTATTATCATCATGATTAAAATACATTGTAATAAGCCATGAGACCGTGTGCGTGTGTTGACTGAATTTTTTTTCTCGAATTATGTAATTCTTCGATGCTTGTGTAAAAAGAATAGATTTATTTGATCTTTTTCATCGATTTGAATTATTTTTCAGGGCACAAAGAG